TGCCTGCTGGTAGAGAATGCTATACTCGGCGAATCGAGTGACGAGTGCATCCTTTTGCTAAATTGGTTACATAAGGCCTGGTAACATGACTTGAAGACCAGGAATTCCGACACTACAATTATATCTTAATGACAAGCAAGAAACGTTTCTCGTTAGCATGGCAAGCAGCTGTCACACACAGAAATGTTACGTATTTATATGCTTGATTTCATACTAGAATGATAATTGAAAAATTACTGCATAAAAATAAGCACTTTGGGTAAATAAAGCAATAGTTATAGGTCCATGCTTGGAATTAAAATATTACTACTGATTACAGCTAATTGTTATGCTAATTATCTATTAAAAACCTTCTTCACTGTTTACAAGAAGATAATGTTTTTTTTATGTCATTAAAGTTGTAAACAGACAATATTTTCTCTCTGTTAGAAATTACAGTCGACAGTAAACACGCGAAATTCGATCTTATTGCACTTAGCCTCATGACCTCGCCCTTCAGTTGCAATTTTCAACATGGCATTAACTATGGAGGTCAGTGAGGGATGTTATGCTAATTGAGTTATCATTAATACCAACCTAACGATTTCATTTTATTTTTATTTTTTTATTATATTTTTTTTTTTTTTTTTTTTTTTTTTTTTTGCAACAGTAAACAAAGGTTTCATGAATGTAATTGAAATAACATTTGATCAATATATTCTTATTGCTTTCTTTTTTAAAGCTAGAAATTTTCACATCAGATAAAAAATAAGATATTACAATGCTCTTTAAATAATAAATCATTTATACATTACCATACAAGTCCTGATTATTTAAGTGAACTTATCACCTAATATATAAATACAATACCCAAATATTGAGCAATCACAAAATGGAATAGAATATTGTTAGAAATTTTTAAATTCTTTCAAGTCAGAGAGAGAGAAAATGGGGAACAGAGAGAGGGAGAAGGGAGAGAGTGAGAGAGAGAGAGAGAGAGAAGAGAGAGAGAGAGAGAGAGAGAGAGAGAGAGAGAGAGAGAGGAGAGAGAGAGAGAGAGAGAGAGAGAGAGAGAGAGAAGAGAGAGAGAGAGAGAGAGAGAGAGAGAGGGGGGGGGGGGGGGGGATGGAGGGAGAGGAGGGAGGAGCGAGAGCGAGTGAGAGCGAGAGAGAGAGAGAGAGAGAGAGAGAGAGGAGAGAGAGAGAGAGAGAGATGAGAGAGAGAGAGAGAGAGAGAGAGAGAGAGAGAGAGAGAGAGAGAGAGAGAGAGAAAGAAAGAGAGAGAGAGAGAGACAGACAGAGACAGAAAAAAGAGAGATAGAGAGATTTAAAAAGGAGAGAGATTCCCCGCCTCAGCCCAGTACACAAGCCACACAACACAAAATCATTCCCAGGCGACAACAGCTTGTTACAACATCCACTAAAATCCCGAATTGGGCAAAGTCATTATTTTTCTAGAGAATGACGATGCCATCTCCTTTAGCTCCGACCACTAATTACCACTAAATATAGCACTAATTACCCTAAGCAAACACAAACATTAAATTGGAAAAACAAATGAGATATTGCGAGTTGACTCTTGGTTCTCCCTGGCCATGGAAACTCTTCACAAATTATGCCTTCTTATTTACAGTGTAAACAATGTAAGGTAAATCATACATGCTTGACTTTTTTGACGTTATAAAATGCTCTTTTTCACCATGTGTTTTTTTTCTCTCTTTCTTTCTTTCTTCTAGTTTGTTTGTCTACTTATTCCTGCCTTGTCTTTTTAATTATTTGTTTGTTTGTTTTTTTGTAAACATTCATCTATAACAATTATTTAACATCGACCTCAGCAAAGAAAATTTCCTGGGATGTTGGTGGCTGTAATTTGGTTACTAACAAAACTAAATGAATGGAAAGCTCATATAACCAAATGTATGTATATATTTATCTGAAGGTGAACATTACTATAAAACTATATCATATTTATCATTGCAGAGCACCACGGAAGTAGTTTCTCTATACTGAATACTTCACAATCTTTTATATGCATATCTATAACCGATATATATATATATATATATATATATATATATATATATATATATATATATATATATATATATATATATATATATTTTTTTTTTTTTTTTTTTTTTTTTTTTTTTTTTTTTTTCTTTTTTTTTTTTTTCTTTTTTTTTTTTCTTCTTTCTTCTCTTTTTCTTTCTTTCTTTTTTTCTTCTTTCTTTTCTTTCTTTTTTTTTCTTTTTTTTTCTTTGTTAATTCACTAGTCAATAACTCCCTCGCTCAACATCTCATCGAACGTCGACAAAAACCTGGATTTAATTAGAGGATTCTGCGGCAAACTCTCCTTCCCCTTCTGCCTCCACCTCTGCAAAAAGTCCTCGCCAAGGGGCACATCCGTTGCGTCGGTCAGGATCATAGGGACGTCCATGATGGCGAAGTACAGCCCGTATTTCAGCCTCTTCTTGTACTCCTTCTCCAGTTCCTCGAAGCTGAAAGGCACGTCGGCACCGCAG